CTACTCCGTAATTTTAATGCGTGCACTTGCGGATCTGGTCTAATGTCTATCTATCTATCTATGTTCAATCCTTAGGAATGGTTTTATCGATGGCGGTGGTTTATAGTATGCAGGATAGGGTGGTGGAAGAAGACAAAGAGAGAGCAGGATATGTACTTATATACTAGGTCAACTAAGGGAGAGGGATAACTGAGGATTAATTTGGAGTGTTTTGTATCATAGTGCACTATAGGGGAAGAAGGCCTATTAGTAATAATGTAAATGAATAATCAATTGGGTTATAATCAAAAATTATGGGATGTTATTGGCATGATAATATATGCATTGGTTAAGGATGAAGTGAAGGTAAGGGAGATTGAAGGGAGTAATCCGTAATTTCGATTATCGAAGGGAGGGAAGGGAGAGTAAGGAGGAGGAAAGAGTGAAAGGAAGGGAAAAGGAAAGGAGAAAAAATTCATCTACTACAGTACAAAGCGAAGAAAGAGGAAGGGAAATGGAAGGAAAGAAAGATGGATGAGAAGGGAAAGAGAAAAGGAGAAGAAGGAAGAGAAGGAAAATGGAAAAATTTTTTTTAATTTGCTTTAATGTCAACTTTGTTGTTATTTAATTTCTTTTTCGAGATTTTTGGTTAATTTATTTACTATCTATTATGTTATATCATTAATATCTGTTTTTTTTATTACCATTTCGGTTATTCTTATTATGTCACATTGGGCATTGGTTCTTATTGTCTTCTTGTTGTTATTTTATCATAGAATATTTTAAGGCTTATCTATTCATACTTATTAATTATCTTATTTATTCATATAATTTATACTTTTCAGGGCAGCAATATCGATAATCGGTTAGTTGTTAAGTCTGGGAGTCTATCTGGCGATACTTCTCATTGGTCACATTTTACTATTCTAACGAGAGTCTATGGAATATACTCATACCACCACAACCTAACAAACGGGCGATCACCACTTCATCCATCACCAGATACATATAACATTGCACCCCGGCACTGGTCAATTTATAATTTATTATTCTGGGAACCCGGAATATTATAGTGTCAACATATAAAGTAAAACATCTGGGATCTCAATTCTCGCAGTTTAAGGTAGACACATACTCGGAATCATAGGGTGTACGGAGGAAGGATAAGGAAGAGCGAGAGAGAGATGAAGAGAAGTAAAGAAGGCAGGACAGGAGCATGTAAGTCCAAGGATATGAGAGTAGTATGCACATACTTCACACCATAGCGTGAATCATCAGTCATGTCGCGAGAAAGGGCCGATTCCAATCCGCCACAAAAATAGACACCTCCATGGCAGCTTTGTCACGTTGCGAGCACTCAATTTCACACATATAAAATCAACCAAATATCACTGACATTACCTATTCTGCTGCCCTTGTCTCGATTTCCCCTCTCTCGGGTCTGGCACTCTTCATTTGTTTTTCATCCCACAGGCGCTTTCGTTTCCAAAAACTGTGGCTTCCTTTCTCCGCAGTAGCATATAATGTTTCATATGCGTCATCGAGTAATCAATCACCACCAACGTTACCTTTCTTGTGACGTAAACACTTAGGTCTCTATCATTCGTTGCTATTCTAGAAGTCCAACTACTTACCCATTCCGTCCGCAACACTTACTGACTGCCAGCCTCATTAGACCTTTGTGCCACATGTATTCATAAGTTACTTGACTCGGCTAGAATCCCATATTAATTCCTTTTACTCACGCACCTTGGGAAACTCCGGCAAACAGCACCTTACCCCTGGCTCCCATAGCGAGATTGTCGGCCAGTGGAGTATTGGTAATAATCATAAGCATGAGAGAATATAATTTTGGCTTTCCAATTGTCACTCTCCTGAGTGCGCGTCAACAGAAGGCACGGTTGAGCTTGGAATAGGATCGTAAAAAACGTGAAGGGACAGAGCGTGGAGTGAATGCAAATAGAATGGGTGACAGAAAGAAAGAATACATAACCGACTCAAATATCATATACTTATTTTATATAGAAGTACTACGAAACGTACAAACAAAAAGAATATCATAATTTATATTATAAACTTTTCATTTTTTCGAGTCTTTTGAATAAAAACCAAACATAGATGTACGTGGTGCCGTTGTGTGGGTGTCTCGTATGTAATATTGAGATATATCGGTATCTAAACAATTATTGTTGAATAATATCATTCGTTTAGTGCTAAAAACCTCGACTTATATATTATATTGGGGATTGTCAGGATCTGGTACAAGTCACTTATCTTATATTTATATATTAATAAATCAGACAACCTTATATAATAAATATAGTACAATACTAATCGAAAAGGGGTCAACTATATAGCCGAATCATTTATTTATAAAATCACTTGAATAATCGTTATCAATGACTTAGAGTAGTAGTTTTAGTTAAAACTGCAAGTAGTAAAAATCCTAATTATTGATAATGCGACAGTGGAATAAATTAAGACTTCACAGCACTTAAGATACAAAACATTATATATTAAATAGGACAACATATATATCTAATATACACAAAAGGTAACCTACGCATATTAATTATATATTATATATATTTAAAAGAATGTAGAATATATTAGTATATCTTTTACGACTGAAATAACCGTCATATATATGTTGTTGAAAATAAGATAGAGTAGATAACTTCATATTAGTGTGTCTTATTTTGATCATAATATTTAATGGGTAGAGAAGGGAATAAATTTGATATATGCAATCGCACTAGATCAAATCATTGATAATCACTATCCCATATGAGAACACCACTCCACACATTCCAGTTATATTTCGTTTTGTGGAATTAAGTTTTCTCATTGAATGATTTTTGACATTAAGACGGGGGTGATATTCAATAATGAAAGAAATAGATACCTTTCCACAATAACGATAAAATTATATTTATATGATTAAATAACAAATGATTTATATAATAATTATTATATATTACTTATAAGTAATAAATACATATTCAATTATTATAGATAATACTTGCATTTTAGTATTTATCAATATTTCTAATAAGGGTAATATAATAAATATATTATTAGTAATTATATTATATATAAATATAATATATTTATATATGATTAAAATAACCAGAAATATATAACAATTAAGTGATTCTAATGATTAATAAATATAAAATGATAATTATATTAATAGTATAATATAATATTTAGTATATGATATTATATTATAATAGGTATATGTTAATAATAATATGATTTATAATTAATAATGAATAATTAATTTGATAATAATGATAATAATTTATATAAGATATATTATAAATTTTAATATTTATTATTGTAAATATAAATATTATATATATATAATATATATAAATTATTAATAATAAATATAATGATAATAAATAATAATAATATAATTATAATTATATTAATAATTATATATTGATTATTATATTAAAAATTAATATAAATATAAATATATATATATTATGTATAAATTATATATATATATTATATAATTATATATATGTTACTAATTTATTATTTATATCTTAATGGGTATATATATTTTACATATATTATATATATAATATATTATAATATATATATATATATATATACTATATTAATATTAATAATGTATATACTATTATATATGGTTACCTTATATATACATATATTATAAAATGTATGTATGAATTATAATATAATATGATAATAATAATACTTATATATATATTTAGCATATTATAATATAGTATATAATATATAGTATACTATATATCGTTACTATATAATGATTAGAATAGTATCATGACATTAATAAATATATAAATAAGCATCATAATATTATATAGATAGAATAAATACTATAATAGATAATATTCATATATAATAATATTATTATTATATTATAATTGTATATAATATAATGTTATAAATTTAAATAATATATATATTATTATCAATTATTATATATATATATATATACTATAATATAATATATATATATATATATATATGGTATTATATATGTATATATACTATATATATTATATATATATATAGTATATATTATATATATATATATATATATATATATATATATATATATATATATACTTATATTATATATGTATAATAATCCTAGTATAATTTATATATTTATATATATTATATTATATTAATATCTATACGCTATATAATATATATAATAATACTATTATATGTATTGTATGTGATATGTTATGTATGTTATAGATATTATAGATAATATAATATATAATTATATATAATATATATATTATATTTATAATAGTATATATAATATTTTTATATATATATTTTAGTGATCCTGCCATGTATATGTTATGTGTGAGTGTGTGTGTATCTATGACAACCTCCAAGGCAAAGTAGTGAAACAAAATCGGCCTTTAGATGGTCAGATGTGGGGGGGGGGGGAGGGGAATGAAGCCAACGCTTAATTTGAAATATGAGAAAGTGAAGCTACGAAGATCCGCTTCTTTCGTTGTGCCGTCAAAGATAACGTGTTCGTTTCCCCCAACGCGTAGATGCCATGTGGATATGAAAATAACAGAGACACGAGGCTTCGCGAGACAGAGAGAGAGACGTGCGAGAGGCGGCGAGCGCAGGACATGAACCCTGGAACGAGGATCAGTGAGCGCTCGCGCCCGCGCGCATACCGCTAAGGGCTTTCCTTGAGAGCGACGCCCGTGACAGCCCGCCCGTCGCCCTCCCACCATGGTGATGGCGGACGGCACGCCTCTGGTGGAGACCTGCGTCCTCCTACCAGCCGAGTTCGCCCTCAAGGTGGAGGCGACGCCGAGGGTCACATCCTTCCTGAGCCTGCTGCCCCACCTGGCCGCGAGGGGCCCCGTCCAGACCCACCTGCCGGGCCCGCTGCTGGACCGCCTGGCGCCCTCCTTCGGCCCCGTGTCGCCTGGCTGAGCGCTCCTGGGCCGGGCCGCCCCCTGGCGGGTCCGCTGGGCTCGCTGCCGGCGCCCGCCGAGGACACCATCCAGGTGTGCGCCACCCGGCGGCTGCCGGCGCAGACGCGCTACCTGCCCTTCAGCGGCACCGTCAGAGCCGACAACTAGCCGCTGCTGCCATGCCTGCCGCCCATGGACGTAAGTACGGCGCCGGTCGCCTCCCCAGCGATGGGCGTGGGGCTGTGGCTTCGCCCACGGCCTCCCTCATTCGCCTGTGTTGTTTGAGGTTCAGCATGCGTGTGCAGTCGGATCTGTCTTTGTGCTACTTCTTGATGCTGCGTTTCTTGGCATCGCGAGTTTAACTTCACCGATTTCACTTACGCATAACCCTATTGTCCTTGTCCGTCGCGCCCTTTGCCTGGTCCTCTTCATATCCTTCGCTCTTCCGCCGTCGTGGCGCGTGCATTTGATGGCCCTTTTATGCATTCCTCTTCCGGGAGACTCGGCGAAGCAACGCAGTGACCTGAACGGCGATGCGCGTTCCACGCTTTCCTGTTTGCCTTCGTCTCTGTCCTCTTTTCACCTTCCTCTGGGTCAGCTTATTTTCTTTCTTCTTATTTCCAAAGTTTCACGATCCTAGCAAATTCTAGCTAATGCTGTGAAGTGCGAATGACAGGTAATTCTCTGATGTTCTCCCGCATTTGAGCGATTTGGGGTGGAAGGCCTTTCTCTCGCCGAAATCGCCATTTCAATATCACCATCGGGTAAAGTCACTCGCCTTTCCCTCGAAGGAAATGATCTTCCACAGACTAATAACTTTGAATCTGGAACAAAAATGTGTTTTCTGCCGAGCAAACTATAGAGCTCAAAATCACGACCGCCATTCGTTTCTCATAACGAAGGCCGATATTAACTTATATACATATACTAGTTTGTGTGTGGTGTGTGTGGGGGGGGGGGTTCGACAGGGATATAGGGTCACTGATGCAATAAAGATATTTACCCCTGAAGAATTACATGAAAACCACCTGCAATTGGCAAAATACGCGGTGACCGCCCGTAACTCCTTGGCGGAACTAAAGTAATGATAATAATACCAGCTGACCCTACTTGGCCTGTTTTTTTCGCGGATTATCGCCTATATTCTTAATGGCGTCTAATTACTAAGAAGCAAATCTGTTCATAATTGTGGGTCTTGTAACAAAACCAACCAAACTAACTTAACCAACGTACCAAGAAGAAATTGTAATGATAATTATAATGACAGTAATGATAATAGGCACTACGGAGATGGAAATGATAGTGACAACACATTGATAATGATAATAACAATAAAATGATAATAAATAATGATTTGATGTAATATGATGATATAACAAATGAATAATGAAATGTAATGATAATGATGATGGTTATGATTATGATAGTAATGATGAAGATTGATAATAATAAGATATATTACTTTAATAATAATCATCTCATGATGAATAGCGATGATGAAAGTAATAATAATGAAAATGATGATACCAGGAATAGTTTAGCATAATAATGATAATGATAAAAATCATATCAATAATAAGGATAACAATGATATCAACAATGGTAATAATGATATTGAGAATAACTAAAATGATGTTGTGATATAATTATTAATAATATATAATATAATAACAATAATAATATATCATTAAACAATATAACAATGATATTAATGATAATAATAACAATAACATAATGCATGATAATATCTTACGAATTACCAAGTAGTAACAATGACAGTGATAATGATAATTGTGATAAAAGTTATAATGATAGTGATAATGGATAATAACAATGAGAACAATATCGACACTAACAGCATATTGAATGGTAATTATTGTAATAATAATGGTATTGATGATAGCAATTCAATGAGAGTGAATAGTTATTATTACTTTTTCATTTTTATTTATCATAACGGTAATGATAATAATACCAGCTACCCCTATGCCTTGGCCGTAGGGTAACTGAGGTAGTCTTAAAAGAATTCTGGTTCCGGATCACACGATCATATTATCATCATCATAATTATCATTTCTATCATTACTGTTATTATCATTATCTTAATCTTTTATCTATACTATCCTCATTATCAGTCATCAAATCATCATTATCACCGTGGTATCATCCAGTCTATATAACAATAATAATAATAACAATCAGGGCCACCATCAGGGAAAAGAACAGGGCTGGGCACGCCAATTTTTCCCTTAAACTTTTATGTTTGTTTTAATATAAAACACCTATAAAATTTGCTGTTTGTTGTTTTGGCTCAAAAGGTGAATGCATGTTGCCCCCCCCCCCCTGTCGGCGGTCCTGATGCATAATAACAATAGTATAAATAGATGATAAAAGGAATCTTATAGTAATGAGGTATGGATGATATAATATGTTAGTAATGATATGATTTATAGAATACAATAATAAGATAACATTGATATGTTTAATAAATCATATAATCATATAATATATAATAATTATATAATATATATAAATGATATTATATACCACATATATGATAATATTATTACCAGTAATAATAATGCGTAATATCGTTATCCATAATAATAATTAACTAATAATGATTATGCTATAATTTACTATAAATGATAAATAATTTTAATTGCCAAATATAGAAAATTAACCAGCGCCGCGCGGATGATAGCCTCCTGACTGATATACAGATTATAATGATAATATGATAATAATATAACCAGTAGTGTAATGTTACAGTCCATCATGTAAGTAGATTGTATGTAGTCACGCTAATAGCATAGGCCTAATGTATCCGCCACGACGCACTCCGGTAAAGTAGCGTGTCATGCGTATGACGGAAGGATTTTTATTGCATCTCAAGACAGTGCTTCTAGCTATTACGTAATGCGAACAAAATCATTCAAGATGGTACACAATGCACAGAATTTGCAGGAACAACAGAACAGAACCTCTGCTAGCGTTGCCAGAATTACCGACGGGTAACACAAGGACACACGCAGCGCATATATCTGGGAAATTTGTTAGCACTCTAGTAACATCGAAGTATTGACATAAACCACACGTAGTAGAAGACTCGGAAGGTGTATGTTCATACAAACGTATAGAGGACATTAAGCTTCTATGTTTTCAAACAGTATAAAAGGCATTGAAATTCTACTATAGTTTCATAAACCAACAACAGTAATAGACCATTAAAGCTTCTATGTTCATAATACCAACATAAGTAAAAAGGCAATGAACTCTACTATAGTTAATAAACCTAGCGAGCAAGTATGGAAACACATAGCTTCCATGTTCATAACCACACGCATAGAAAAACAATTAAGATCTCTATTAGTTTCATAAACGACAGCCAGTATAGAAGACAATTAAACTTCTAGTTTCATAAACGGACACAGTTATTAGCGACCAATTAGCTTTCTATGTTTATAACCAACCGTAATGGAAAACAATGGGTTACTTATTTGCTTTGGGACGTCAATTCTAATCTAACAAGAATCCAGGCTAACAGGCCGCATAGTAAGTAAGGCAAGAGGCCTTGTCTGCCATCGATGTTTTTCCCAAGAACGAAAACATCGATAAACAGCAGAGGAACTTCATTATGAATCTACGATTGAGGAATGTGGGGCCATGACACCAGCACCAATGTGGTAAGGGCTCTGGAATGGTTAAGAAAGGGGTGGAAAAGAACATTAGTAACATCCCTGGGAATTATAACGATACAAGAGTTCAGAGTTGTCCTCCATGGATCTGTTTTATATTCTTAGGTTTATCCATCAAATTAAACCTGCTCCTTATGAAGCTCTTAGATCACGGTGGATAGTGAATTAAAGAAAATATCAAAGCAAATTAAGATGGTGATGATTGATTAATATGATGATGATGATGCATGTGATCGTAATGGTGATGATGATGATGGTGATATGGTGGTGGATGATATGGTGAATGTGTGATGGTATGTTGATGATGTGATAATATTATTGATATATATATATGATAATCAATGCTAATGATAAAGTTATAGTACTGATATTGTGCAGATAATAATAAGAAATTAAAAATAATCTAGTAACATAGCACATCATTTCTCCCATATACCGCTATTATAATGTAGATGGCATTGTATATACAAGTAAATAATGTAGTATATACTAATAATAGTGATAAAATTAAGAATAAGAATAATCATAACAATAAAAATAACAGATAACAACTAATCGTGCAATTAACAACAGCAACAACGATAATGATATTAATGATACTGATGATAATAACAATTTTATAGTAAACATATCGAATAAGGATAATGATGACACATATGGTAATGATAAAATGGTGATAATGAAGTAATAGAAGCCACTCAGAGAGCGCATACCTCCGCCAAGGCAAGCACCTCTTTCTCAAGTACACTGGTTACCCCAATTGCGGTGACTGATGCAGTCATTTTAAAAAATCACGGATCTCCACGGAAATGTGATGGAATCTAATATAGTTTAAGACACATCTCCTGTCAAATTTTCTCATCAAAATCCGTTCATAACTTTTTTCTTATCCGAATCGCCACCGAATTTAATGGCACTAAGTTTGCTAAGAACACTCGTAAAAAATTGTTCGTAATGTATTTCGTAACTTTTTCAGATATCCTGCTAACCAATCGTAAAAACAAACTAACTAGACAAATAAATAAACAACGCGACCAAAGACATAGCTTCCTTAGCAGAGGTAATAATAATAATGATGATAATAGTAATAATGATGATATTAGCAATGATTATAATACTAATGATAATAGTAATGAGAATAATAGTCATAATATATGATATTGTATAATAAGGTTAACAATCATAATATCAATAATAATATCAATAATAACAGTAAAGATGGCCATGTAGTGATTATGTCAGTAGTATGATAATGACAGATTGAATGAAAAAATGCTAAAAAACAAACAAAGAACCCCAAAGAGCAAATGGCAACCGCTGAACAAATAACAAACACATCGGGACGCGTTATGCCCAGACCACAGCTCGCACAAGCCCCGAAACTAAGCCCTTGTGTGTACGAAAGGAGCGAGTCCCGAGGAGCGAGGGAGAGCTCCGCCGGAATCCGGGCTGAGCCATTGTTCTCCCGGGCGACCTCGGGGGAATCGCGCGCATTCCCCC